GTGTACATGGCTGGCGCCTTAGCCGGTTGAGCTATAGACGCCGAGCCTATAAGTTCAATTCTTAATGTGCATTCCCTTGGGTAATTTCCTATACAGTCAAAAACATAGGAAAAGAAAAAAACATGCAAGCAAATGAGATTTACATTTTACCTAAAAAATACACCTAAAGAAAGATCCTCGTTAGAGTACTTGAGTTCACAGCACTACTACATAATAAATGCAGTTAGGAAAGTCAGATGCCCTAGTCCCCTGCTCCTTACCACTCTTCCATTTTCAGCTCATGGAGTGCCTTTCGATCTTTTACTTTTCTCTCCTGGACAGTCTCACCACAGTACTTTTGAAGCGCCATTAACAGGCTTCCTGTAGGAGTGCTGAGGGGAAAACAGAGACAAAATTTACAGAGTCATTAGACTATGCAACAGGTGAGCCATTCTGCCAAGGCATGAGCAACACCACAGCCACCTTGGCCTCCTAAGTGGTGGGATGATAGGCATGAGCCACCGCACCAGGCCTGACAATTAAAGAATTCTTGCCAGATAAAGAAAAATATGCTCAGGCAATTTCCTTGTATGAATAACAGAGAAAAACAATTACTGTAACTGCCTAAAGTTGACTGGTATGAAAAGCAGATTTACAAATTGGCTCTATGTTTTTCTAATCAGGAATGATAAATAAACCAAAACAAAGATGAAAAAATATATACATTTACAACAAGTTCTTTTTTTTTTTTTCTAGTTTTTGGCCAGGACTGGGTTTGAACCCACTACCTCCGGCATATGGGGCCAGCACCTTACTCCTTTGAGCCAAAGGCGCTGCCCAGAATAAACACATTTTAATTGACATATTAAAATTTCTTGGCACATAATATTTGGTGCATCATAATTGACCTTACAATGTTGACTTGGGCATGTATTTTTAAGCCCACGTTAAATCTGCTTTAAAAATTATTCTTAAAACACTGACTTCAAGGCTTACTCATAAGATTCTTGTTTAAAAATGGTTTCGGTTTACATGATCTCTTGGGGAATATTGGATTGATAAAAGGTTTCAAGTTGAAGTTAAATGTCTATTTTCCTGAAATAAGTAGAAAGACTCTACTGTAAAAAAGGTCATATATAATTTTAAAGCACAGTACTTTTTATTCTTTCACTGACTCAGATTTGTGAAGTATTAGCATCATTTAATTTTAAGCTGAACATTTTGAAAAAAGGGCAAGAAAACAAAACATTTGTGATAATCACGCCATACCTTAACAACCTTTAAAATTGCCATGTTTGTTCTTTCATTCATTTCTATCTCAAACCAATTTCCCTCATTTCCAGAGATAAAGAAAATCACTCCCATCCAGTTAGCTGAGAACTCTTCATCCAAATCAATTACTCTAATTTGAAGCAAGTTTGAATATAGAGCATTTTCATCGATGCTTATGGTATCCTGAAACAAGAAGTAGAAAAGTTAAACTTTGTGAATCAGAGAGGCACTCTGCTAGGCTTACACCAGGGTGTCAATAGTTATTCATCATTTAGAAAAGATATTTGTGTTTATAATCTCACTTTTCCTTGCTTTAATGAATTTATTTGGCATTATATAATATAAACAAACACAAGAAAAAGATATACATCTGCATTTGGGTTGGAGGTCACATGTACATCTGTAAACAAAACTGCACAAATCTTAGAATATGATGAATTTAAAGTTATTGATTTTGAGAACAAAAGCTTACTTTGGACAGTTCCAAGTATGGGATGTTATCATTGACATCAAGGATTCTGATGTTGCATTCACACTCTGCTGATATGCCATCTGCCCCGCCGTCTCGATCTGAGCCTCTCACGACAAGAGAGTAATGGCTGTATTGCTAAAAACACAGATAACAAGCAATATCACACTTGACCTTGAAGTCTACTCTTATGGAAGGTTCTTTTAAATATTGGCTCAATAAACATTGAGTCAATCATAAATCTATGATAGAGGTAGGATAATACAGAATGTTGAAATCTACAAATCTCACATGAATATTCCCAACAATACTTACTCAACTGCATTTGAAAGAGGCAATACTTTTTAAAAGGCTCCTACAAATCATAGCATTCCGGAGGTTGACAAGTTTATAAAGGGTGAAAAAACCCAGAACGACCAAGAAGAGAGAGATTGAGGTTTACAAAAGGTCTGTGGTATGAAAATTCTATAACCTAAATAGCCCCTGAGTGTGCAAGAAGAATGAAGAGATGACAAATGGTTCATGGTTTTAGAAGGCAGTGGGTTGTGGCGATGGAGTAATTGACCATTTATCTCGTCTTGATTCTATTCAATGATGCTGACATTTTTAGAAGCTGGTAAAAGCTATGAAAGCTTTCCTAGACTCATGCATAAGTGCACCCTCATTCAAAATTATAGGTGGAATTTTATGGTTTTATAGTCAGAGATATCTTGAGGCTGCTTCATGGACCCCCAGACTTGCTCTGGTAGTCTCCCAGTGGCTGCAGGGATCCTTTTCTTTTGACATTCTTTTCTTACAACTTTTCACCAGGAAAACTCTCTGTACATTAAAGAAATCCCACTGGGCTTCTCATGGTAATTTTCAAACAAAGGGAGACACAGATCACCTAGAAACTGGTAATATTCAGATCATAACAGGGCAAGAGTAATCTGATTTATCCTATACCAAAATTTCAACAGCAAAGACATTGCCATTTTTAAGAAACCATAATAATTAAAATAAAATTTAGTTGAGTATCAGTTAGAAGACACAGCTTTTTCATGTATATCCCGAAACAGGTCAGCTGCATTCTATTCAAAAGATAGTATTTTTTAAAAAATATTATGAAACAGTAGATATTTTAAAACTAAATTACGGGATAATATGGCATGACAGAAATCACATAATTCTGATTCTAACCTGTTAACAATTACTAGTTATTTTCCTATTGGTAAATGAAAAGATTGGTCTGGATATTATGTAATTTCTACTGTCCCATCATTCTGATCCTATGATTCATTTTCCCAAAGGAAATGAATAGGTGGGCTGTCGATAAGCGTTATGTATGTAGAAAGAAAAAAAGAGTTCCATTTTCAAAGGAGTTTAGGATTGCTGGTTTAAGGAAAGATAAGCTAGTAAAGTATTTCAAGAATGGAAAAAAACCCCAATGTACTCAATACTATTATGAAATCACTGTATAATCACCCACACTTTCATATGAAAGATAAAACACAACTGTAGCCCAGAAAGGAGAGAAGAGGAAGGAGAGGGGAAGGGAGAGGGGCGGATGGGTAGAGGGAGGGTAATTGGTGGGACCTCACCTACTGTGCATATTGCAAGGATACAATATATAAATATATATAATAGTAGAGTATATAAATATATAAATAGTAGAGTATAAATGTCTAAACACAACAATTACATGAGGTGAATACTATGTTAACCAATTTGATGCAAACATTCCAAATTGTATAGAAAATCAGCACATTGTGCCCCATAAATGCAATAATGTACACAGTTATGATCTAATTAAAAAAGAAAGGTGAGCAAGTTTCTTTCTCTGTGAATACTCTTGGAGCCTCTATCACATCGCATCCTTTACAACTCACCAGGATGGGAACATGATTATGTTTCTTAAGTTTATTTCATAATAGAATGTCCTTTTTTAAAACTGGAGTTTTGCCTTTTCCTTACACATATTTTTATGTCCTTTCTTATAGAATATAGTTTTCTTAAATTGAGGTAAGTTTTAGTTAATCGAGTCAATGAAAAATGTCAGCATGAAACATAATTGAGGAATCTCCTTTTTTTATTTTAAAGATATTTCTCATCTCATTGCCATTATGTAAAAAAAGTATATAATTAAAATTTTTAAACATTATTTTCTTTTTTTCTTTCTCTCGTAGGTACCTTGCTTTTGAAACCAGTTTCTTGGAGAACAAAAAGCCACTTCAAGAAAATGAATTACCTCTCTGTCTAGAAAATTATTCATTGTTCGAATTTCTCCAGTTTTTCGGTTGATGATAAACATTGGTGAATCTGAAGGTTGCTGGCTGGTGATCTTGAAGGCTATTAATGAGTTCAAATTATTTGGTTCATCTGCATCAGTGGCATTGATTCTGGTCACCAGTGTATCTAGAAATCAAGGAATATTGATTGCAAACGGACGATTTACATTTTTATTAAAATAAAATGTATCACCTTCCAAACAAGGTGTTAGAATTAGTTGGTCCATATAATGTGCCCTTTGCTATCTTCCCTTTCTCCTCCTTTAACATATATGTATGTCAGTGCCTTTCTATACTTTTGCTTTAACAAAAAGGTCACATTTTAGTATGATACTAGACACTACTGATGATTGAAAAGGAAATAGGTTATTCTGGCTTTCTAATCCTTATTCTAGTATAATTTCTTCTTCTTTTTTTGCTTTATAGGATGCTATGGTGAAACAAAATGATACCAAGAGAAGACCAACTTTTTCCCAACTTTAACACTTTCTAGCTACATGATCGTGGCCGCAGTTTCCACATTTAGAAGTGGGGATGATATTAGCACCATCCTCACTGAGTTCGTGTGATAATTAAATAGTTAATAAAATGTCATAAAGTTCCTATTGAATAATGCTTATTCAATAAATATGGATTATTATTCTGTTTTGGGTGGCCCTTTGTTAAGTACTAGGTAACTTGTAAAGTCATGCTTATTTAGCTACATGTGTTGTCCTGTCCCTTATCTTTTTCATTAATCTTTCTTTTTTCTTTTTTTTTTTTTTGAGACGGAGCCTCAAGCTATCCCCCTGGGCAGAGTGCCATGGCATCACGCTCACAGCAACCTCCAACTCCTGGGCTCAAGCGAGTCTCCTGTCTCAGCCTCCCAAGTAGCTGGGACCACAGGCACCCGCCACAACGCCTGGGCATTTTTTGGCTGCAGCCATCATTGTTGTTTGGCGGGCCCAGGCTGGGGATTTGAACCCGCCACCTTAGGTGTATGTGGCTGGCGCCTTAGCTGCTTGAGCCACAGGCGCTGAGCCATTTTTTCATTAATCTTGTAAGAAGTTCTGATGAAGAACACTGGAGTATGTGAAAAGCTGCCATTGCTCATTCATAAACTAGAATTCTTTCATACTCTTCAATGTCATTTCAAACATAAACCTCTTATACATATCCCAGTGCATCTCTCCTTTCTATGTATATTTTTATATGTGTGTGTGTGTATAAATTATTCATTTTAGCATCACTTAAAAATGTTTTCACTAGGTAATTAAGTAATCACAGGACATTCATATAATTAAATTCAACATAACTGCTAAAAGGAGTGAGGAAATCTGCACGTCTTGATATGGACGTATGTTCAAAACACATTTAAATTAAAATTCATGCCACGGATTAGTATGTAAATAGCATGATCCCATTATGTCTATAAATGTGTTATTTATGTTCATGTAATTACAGAACGATTGCTTGCCTCGGAAGAACGGTACTAGGGAGAGCAAAGAACAGATTCCCATTCCCTTTTACTTTCCATATTACATGAAGTTTTCAAAGTGCTAAGTATAGGTAGAGTGCTTTAATGAATAAAAGTAAAATGTAAAGACTTTGGGAATTCATAAGAAATCATACCACATGAAAGTAACTATGGTAAGCTGAAGTTTTGTGTGAAAGTAATTTCTATGAGTGATTGTAAAGTAGTTAACTTAAAAAAAAAAGGCAGTATGAACAAAAGGAGTGGGATTGCCCTTCATTGCAGTCAGGCTGAGAGCTAAATTCTCATTCCAATCCCCTTACTATGCAAAATACTTTGGAATTTCTTGTGAGGAATCTCCTACAGAACTAGCACGTGAGTTACATGAGAAGATCCTCCTTGCTGTGGAATTCCTCCTTGTGTGTGACAGAGGGGAGCAGCTTCCATAGTTGAAGGGAAAGCCTTTCTGCTCTGTGTCTTTTCTATAACTTACATCCGTGATGTGTATCTAGATATAATTTAGCCTTTAGTTAGGTACCTGTTAAGAGTGATCTGGAAGCCAATATACTTACTTGCATTGGAATTTTCTTCTACTTGTGCTTGAAATGTAGACATTGCAAACACTGGAGGGTTGTCATTTATATCCAAAACCCTGACTCTGAGCTCTAAAAGGTCCTCTAAATCTTGGCCCAGTGAATTCAGAGCCCGGCAGTAGATCTAGGGGAGAAAACAGAAATAATGATAGAGTGAAACACATATTAACAAGGTAATTTATATAAAGGAAGAACAAAAATACTATGACTCTTCATAGAAGGATGTAATGATTGAGGTAGATCTTGGCAGAGAATTCCAACAGATAGAGCTGCCAAGTTTCATGGATTTTTCATGTAAAGAGATTCATATGAAAAAAGCAATAGAATGATGTAAATGTAGTTTTTAAATTAGGAGGAGGGGTTTGGGGAGTTGAGAATATGGTAAGGGGGGAGTCACATGGAGGCTTTAAAGAAATGTAGCATTCTTATGCTGGTAGCATGGAGGGTTGTACTATTATTTATATTTGAAGCACACATAAGTGTAATGTATACTATCTAACATTTGTGGTTTGTTTTGGATAAAAATACATTGTGCTTCAAGAACAGCTAGTAGGTCTGGGTGCAGTGGCTCACACCTGTAATCCCAGCACCTGGGAGGCTGAGGTGGGTTGATTGCTTGAGCTCAGGAGTTCAAGACCAGCCTGAGCATGAGTGAGACTCTGTCTTTAAAAAACAACTGGGCATTGTGGTAGGTGCCTGTAGTCTCAGCCACTTGGGAGGCCAAGGCAAGAGAATCACTTAAGCCCATGGATTTGAGGTTGTTGTTAGCTGTGACACCATTGCAGTCTTCCTAGGGCGACAAATTGAGACCCTGTCTCAAAAAAAAAAAAAAAAAGGCTAATAGGCTATCAGGCTGATTTAAAATTTGTGGGAGGACATTGTGGCAGGAATATGGATTTGGAATTGAGGGCTAAGGAATTGAAGTGATCTGAAGTATACAGGCGAGCACCATGAATGAACACTGCAAGTGTAGATGATTATTGGAAGGTATTTGGGGTATGGGTTGATGGGTTTTCAGAAGAAGAGAGTATAAGAGCAAAGTAAGATTTCTTTATGTCTTTACACTTATATTTTATGTTAAGAATTAAGAAGCGTTGACCATGATGATTGATAGAAATGGAAGTTGCCAGTGGAACAAGCCGAAGAGAGAGAAAAAGAAGATGGCTGGAATAAGGTTCTTGAAGACATGGGTAATGGAAATGTCTTGGAATAAGCTGTGGGAAAAAGATTCTGAAAGTAAATTGATCTTGCTTTTGGATTTAATGGAGAACATTTCTGAACTGGACAAGGGAGGATTAATCACAGGAGTTTGTGATGGATTCCTCAGCCTTTTGGGGGAAGTTGGTCACCAGGTTAACTGAAATGACAGTGAGCTTGAGGGTTTGAGAAGAAAGGATACTTCAGTTCTGTGACAGCTCCTGTAAGGGATGGGCGTGAGAGTCAGTTGAGGGTGAATGAATTCTCAAGGCACATTCGGAGCTCAGTGGAGCTTGAGCAATGTGAATTTATTATAAAATATGTTTGCTCAGAAAAGAGTCCCTCAGTAGCTCCAGAATCGTTCTTCAGCATTGGAGTTAAAAGGAACCAGCTTTTTTAATTGCATTCAAGAAAAAGAGAAAGTTAGAGTGAGATACTTGTCATTCGAAACACTTTTTCTAGTTGGCCAAGGAAGACAGACTAGACATTAGCATTTTTGCTGGCACTTATGTGAAACACTTCTTTCTCTCTCAATCTCTTCAGCATTTCTTTTGGGTTGTGGGATGTTCATGAATTAAGAAGTAACCCAAATGCCTACTATTGTGACTCTTGAAATCAAATTAAGTATGATCTGAGATTAGGATTTTTCAAGAATAATTTAGATTTGAATGTATGTATTGACACGAAGCACACTTACAATGAAAACAGGGGTGGCCTCCCGATCAACTATGGATGTTATATTAATTTCACCAGTTTTTTGATTAACAATGAAGATTCCATAAGGTGGTTGATCAATTCCTACTCCAGAGATACGGTATGTAACTTCCTGGTTGGCAGCACAGTCTGAGTGAATCTGCAGAAAGAACACATGTGAAAATATTATAGGAAACAAATCAGGAGATCTCTGTTTGATATATGACAGCTTCTTGAGAACTGTTGAGTGTGATGACCCTGTCATTTGAAAAAGGCTGAAATAGAGAATTAAGTGTAATAATGACAGCTATAGTATTTTCAATGGTGAATGACGTGATTGAAAATTTCAATTTCTATTTCTATCAAGCAAGTAACAAGTAAAAGATAGCTATACTATATATAAATCTATGTCATCATTCATTCTACAGTTATAATTTGATCTTCTATTATTTTCAGACATTTCAAGCACTGGAGCTAGAGTAGGGAACTCCTTTTCTGCTTAGGGAGTTTGCCAATGTTGTTACACAGCTTCGATCCTCAAATTAAAAATAATATAAAGATCCTGAAGAAACTTTTATGTGGGCTCGGCACCTGTGGCTCAAGCGGCTAAGGCACCAGCCACATACACCTAAGGTGGCAGGTTCGAATCCCCAGCCCAGACCCGCCAAACAACAAT